AGACTCAACATACATCTTTGTGCAGTGCTTTTAAATATTCAGTATCATTCGAGAAGCCGAACTATAAGTAGCAAAGGAATATATAGAGCCAACTGGATAAAAAAATTATTCACACATCGCCACGTGTTTGATTAGACTCGACATACATCTTTGTGCAGTGCTTTTAAATATTCAGTATCATTCGAGAAGCCAAACTGTAAGTAGCAAAGGAATATATAGAGCCAACTGGATAAAAAAATTATTCACACATCGCCACGTGTTTGATTAGACTCAGCATACATCTTTGTGAAGTGCGGTTTAACAGTTAGTACACGTTGCTACGCTGAAAAACGATAGAGTGATTTTCGTGAAAATAATAAAGAATTTTATAAATAATAAACAATTATGTTTGTATGTGAGTGCTGCAAAACAATGTCAGTGTCCGACAATGGTGACTCTGGTGAAAGTTTGCGTGATGGAAGTAAAGGCAACGAAATAAACAACAGATATATCAGATATTTAAATAAACTTAACGATCTTCGTCGCGAAACGAATTACAAATTCCATTTAATTACACGCTATGACGGAAAATTGATGATTATGAACTTGCTGAGAAAGGGAGCCGATTGTAATTCAGCCGAACCGAAAGAGTGTGTTCTGCACACGATTTGCAGACACGACAACGACAGTGAATCGGCCAAATTCTTGGAAAAATTATTGGAGGTACCGATGAATTTGGAGATCCTGGACGAGTCGGGCAGTACACCGCTACATTTGGCTCTGGAGCACAAAAGGGCGAGGGTGGTCGATTTGCTGCTCAGATACGGCGCTGATCCAAGCGCAGCCAGAGTCGAAGACGGAAAGACTCCTCTGCACATAATATCCGAGCGATGGAGCGCAAAAACTATCCTGACTTGCTTCTTCGGAATGTGGGACTTTTACCAGCAGCCTATACAAGTCGATGCCCGTGACAAGTCGGGTAACACAGCACTGCATTCGGTAATACTCTCGAGGCACCGAATAAAAATTAATAACGCAGTTGAAGCACTGCTGAGAAGAGGAGCCAATCCGAATATGGCCAACAGTTGTGGTGTGACGCCATTGCACTTAATTTACGGCCAACGCGAAGATAATAATGACTTGGCGGAGTTGTTTTTCGCGATATGTAAGGAACTGAATCAACCGCTCGAGATAAATGCCGTAGACAAGTTTGGCCGGACGCCGCTACATTTGGCTCTAGAGCGCCAGGAGAACACTGTCAATGTCCAATTACTGCTACAAAACGACCCGGATCTGAATTTAGCCGACGATAGAGGAGAGACTCCTTTGCTCCTCGCTTGTAAGAGAAATCACACCGACTTGTTTGAGACATTTATCGAGATTTGCAGCAAAAATCATGGATCCTTGCTAATCAATGCTCAGGACCAGTCAGGTTATACATCGCTACACTATGCCTTGCTTAGGGGCAGCAAGCAAATGATCGAATTCTTGCTGAAAAATGGCGCCGATCCCAATATCGCCAACGTAGACGGAGACACTCCTCTGCACTATATTTGCTCGAGAGGAAGTGGCTATGACGAATTGGCGAGGATGTTTTTCGACATCTGCGACGAACGTCAGCTAAAGTTGCAGGTCAATGCTCGAAACAATAAGGGCAGAACAGCGCTGTACAAGGCTTTGCTATGCAAAAACAAGCAGTTGGTCGAATCGCTGCTGAGAAGAGGCGGCAATCCCAATTTGACCGACGAGACTGGATCGACAGCTCTGCACTGGCTTTGCAACGAACGCGCCATCGATAACCGGGATTTGGTGCAGATGGTATTGGAGCTCAGCCACGCCGAATATCGGCCGGTGAACATCGATATCCTCGACGAATCCGGTGAGTGCCCGCTGCGTTATGCTCTGTCTCGTGGCCACACGCGGGTAGCCGCGATGCTGCTGAGATACGGAAGCATGCCGAATTTGGCCAATGCAACGGCATCGAGTCTTTTGCACGTCGTTTGCGGGGAAAAAAGCGGCGACGCCGAATTGGCCGCGACGTTCTTTGAGATCTGTGGCGAGCAGCTGCTGCTGCAGGTCGTCAACTCGCGGAACGAGAAAGGCCAGACCGCGCTACACCTGGCTTTGCAGCGCGGCAATAAGCAGGCGGTCGAATCGCTGCTGACGAGAGGCGCCGATCCCGATGCGACCGACGAGAACGGATCGACCCCTCTGCACGTTGCTTGCCAGTATTCCGAGGACGACTACGACTTGATGCGGATGTTGTTCGAGCACAGCAACGACGAATACAAGCCGTTGCGAGTCGATCTTCGGGATAATTTGGGAAATACACCGCTGCACACGGCTCTGTACAATGGCCGCAAAAACTTTGCCCGATTGCTGCTGAGAAACGGCGCCGATCCGAATCTGGGCAATAAGGACGGACGTACGGCTCTGCACGTTCTTGCACAACGCAGACACGACGGATTAGCGGAGGTGTTCTTCGAGATCACCGATGAACAAAAGCAGACGTTGATGATCGATGTCCAGGACGTGTCCGGTGATACACCGTTGCATTTGGCAGTGCAGGACGGGCCTGTCGTCTTGACCGAGATGCTGCTGAACAGAGACGCCGATCCGAATGTGGTCAACCGCTATGGACAGACTCCGCTGCACGTCGTTTGCGGGAGGGGCAACGATAACAACGCCGAGCAGATGTTTTTCAAGATCATGGAAGCGAAGCGTCAAATTTTGCAGGTCGACGCCCGGGACAAGCAGGGCAACACACCGTTGCATTTGCTACTCGAACCAAGGCACCTTCCAAAGCAAACGAAAATAAAGATGATCGAAGGGCTGGTGCGAAGGGGCGCCGATCCGAACGCGACCAACGAGCTCGGATTGACTCCTCTGCACGTTACTTCTCAAAACTACGTTGCCGCATTCTGGGCGAGGACGTTATTCAGAGTCTGCGACGACGTCCAGCGAACGGTGCAGCTCGACGCTCGCGACAAACGGGGCGACGCGCCGATACACATCGCTACGCAACGTAAAAACAAGAATATGGTCCAATTATTGTTGGAAAGAGGCGTCGATCCGAATTCAGCCAATGCGGAAGGATTGACGGCTTTGCACATTTGTGCGAATAGCTGCGAGGATGAACTTGCAAAGATGTTATTCGAGATCTGCCACAAGCTAAACGCGTCGGTACTGGTCGACGCCCGGGACAAGGAGGGCAACACACCGTTGTACCTGGCTGTGAAAAAAAACTCCGAGAAGATGGTCGAGGTCCTGCTGAAAAATGGGGCCGATGCAAATTTAGCCGGTGATTGCTTGGACCTTCGTACACCGCTGGAGCGGGCTGTGTGGAATATCAAGGCACCTGTGGTCGATTTGCTCTTGAAGTATGGCGCTGATTTTACGAGCTTCGTTTTTCCCTCGGAGAGTAAATTCGACGAAGAACGAATGACGACGGAATTTTTGTACTCACCGTCTGATCGGATTATCCTACAATTGAGACAAGTGTCTCATGCTCTGGCCGTCGTCGAATTCCTTGGGAATAGAGAATACGAGCTGGACCGAAAAGATGCTCTAATGATCCTGAAATTGTTCATCAAACTTGGATTGTTTCAAAATTCGTCGGCCAATGTTGACAAATCGTGGTATGATGACGATGAGTTCAAAAGAGAAGCGAAAAAAATAATAATAAATTACTTGAAAAATCGAGACTTTTCGCTCTACGATCTTGTCCGTTTGCGACCCGAAGAGGCGGCGAAAACACTCACGTGTTCGGACTTCTACGAGTTAGCGCTCTCCAGAGAATTCGAAGGCGTACCCAACAGTTTCAAGGAAACTTGTGTCAGGCATTTGTGCGAGACAATGTCGAGGGTATATTTCCGGTGCTGGGCATTGGATTCTTTCATGAGGAGGACAGGCTTGCCAATTGAACCGAGTATAATCATCATCGATGAATCACTCACGAACAAACATTTGTGGAATGTTTGTTTGGCAGCTAGAGACGAAACGATTGATCACGACGAGTTTGCTATCGTTGCTAATAGTGATAAGAGAGTAAGAAGTAATAACATAGTAATAAGTAATAAGCGAAGAAGATTAACTTAAAAAATTAACTGTTTTTTTAAGTCCAGAGTTTAATGTATAATATTTTCATACCATTCAAATAAATAAATAAATTAATTTTAAAAATGAATTTCGATTTCTCTTTTCATAATCATACGAACATTAACTTAAATTGTTTACTCATAACCATAGAACCAAAAACCATAGTTATCATAGTTATAGTATATAACATATTATAACTATGATGACCTAAGATGGGTTGATTTGAAAAAATATGCAACGTCCATCTTTAATTGAGATGTAAAAATATAAAAATTTATTAAGATTCACGAACAATTGGACATTGTCAATCAATTAAGCTTAACAGATATTTAGAACATTTGTTGGCTTCTTTTAAAGTATACTACCGTTGAATTTTCAAAATAATAATTTAAATCCGATGCATTGTTTCAATGCGGAACTGAGAAAAATATCGTGGAGAGCAATAAAAAAATTTTCAGTGAAAGCTTTACAAAGTACATTTTGTTACGCCAACTAATATATTTGATATAAGTAACAAAATTATATTTTTTGTTACGGCTATCACACATTTTTGTAACCCCAACAATATTCTTAGTTGACGTAACAAAATGGCTTTTTGTAGTTCCAACTAAACGAGTTTTTTTATTGACTTCCAAGATTTTTTTTATGTGTTTTTAATTGTTTTTTATCCAATCAAATCTAATTTTGAACAAAAGTCCTACTTTCTATACAAATTCAATTGCATTTATGGTTTTTAAAATTATTCACCATAATGAAATATAAAATTATAAAATGCGTTTAAAAGTTATTATGCTTTTAACAAATTGAATAAAAAGAATCTCCACGTTGAACACGTAATTCAAAATTAATTTCTATCCAAAATAAATACACGTATGAGAATCCAGCGTGACAAGGACTTTGAAAGGAAAATTGTCTACTTTTAGTTCGTCCGTTGATTGAAGTGCCGAACCAGCTAGTTGGGGCGCCGATGAGAACCGACGTGACGCTATCCTGCAAAGTTGAGGCTTCGCCGAAACCTATTAATTATTGGACCCGTGAAAACGGTGAGTTTACAAAGTTCGTATAACTCGTGGCACACATAGTTGATATTATATGGATTAAAGAGATCCCCCCGCCCTCTCCTCCTCACAATTCCAGTCTTTTCTGATTTTCAAACCCGGCGAATTAACGAGATCTATACATTGTTTCGATATTTTTTTACTTTACTCTTTTCGACAAAACTTTCAACTATTCTCATTACACGAGGTTATGATTCAACGCCCTCGAATCTTCTTTTCTCTTTCCCGCAGGAGACATGATCGTCACGAACGACAAGTACTCGATGTCGGAAGAAGTCGCCAATACCTATAGCGCCCGGATGCAGCTGGTCATAATGAATCTCCAGCCGAGGGATTTCGGCGGCTACAAGTGCATATCGAAAAATTCGCTGGGAGACGCCGAGAGCGGAATTAGATTGTACGGTAAGGCAAATGTCATCTTGTATTATTATACTCGGTCTCGTTATACAAAAGTCCATCAACTGCCACTGCGATAAGCAGCAGCAGCAGAAGCAGAGAAGTTTCGTCAAATATTAAATTATCAGATTCGCGCGCGCGCGAGAAGATTAAAATGAATTTTAAAGGAATCGGCAAGCGCGCAGATCTATTTACCGCAACTGCGTCCATTATAATATAGCATTATCGCGTCGAGTATATAAACTACTGCACTTGGTCCGGGTGAGGAGGACCCCCCCTGCCCCATTCTAAATAATAAGAAAAGTTACACAATAACGAAACTATTCGAACGAAGGCTAAAGCTGACCAAGCCTCCTCCTCCTCCTACTGAAACATGCACAAATAGACGGCAGGTATATAAGGATATATCGAAGCGAAGCCCGCGAGCAGTTTATTAATAACAGGATCAGGACTGCGCACGGAGCGAAGAGCACCACGGAGTAGCTGGCCGCGCGGCGTAGTGTATATATCTGTATATTACCACCGGAGCGGTGATGTCTGATATCCGATAAAGAGCTTTATGAAATCTCCGGTTAACTCGGGCTATAAGGCTGCCGAGAGAGCGAGAGCCAGAGGGCCACAAGAGTCGAGCCGAGCGACGGAAAGAATATTAAATTCGAAAATCGAGTTGCGCGAAGAGAGCAGCAGCAGCAGAATATCGCGAATCAACTCCGGTGGCGCGCGTCGTTTATAAAATAATTTGTTTACATTATAATGAAATACTTATCTGCAAACACAAAGAGAAATAAGGCGAGCTAGGAGTATAATGTATCTCTCTCTCTCTCTCTTGAGCTTTATTAAATATATTAGCGGTAAGTTCATTTTCTGTTTAATTTTTTTTCTGTTCTCTCTGCCTCTCTTAAAGCCGCCGCTGCTGCTGCTCATTGCCATCATTTCCGAAACGCTTAAAATATTTTTCACCCTTCTCCCCCCCGCGTCGAGAGTCGTGACCGTGCACAAACGGCTTATCTGCGATCAGCGGCACGTCGAGTTCTCTACTGGTGCTGTAGAGGCCGCAAAAGGAGGAGAGAGGACTTATGTATATTATCTGCCTTTTTAGCGCCACAGCGCCGCCGACGAGATAGAAGAAAGTCTCGAGTGTTCGCGCTCGCGCCAAGAGAGATGCGAGACGAGCAAGTGAGCTTGCAAGTCCGCGTTTACATTGTGGAAAATATATCCTGTCTTGAGGGTGAGCGAGAGAGAGAGCTCTATACACACTCAGCTGGGTTATATGTACCCTTAATAACGCTCTGCATTTTCAATGACTTTTCGCGCGACGTTAGTCCCTTTTATTTGGCTTTTGAGCTTCTTTACTTTTCATGCTCTTTGGATCTGAGAAAAAAAGAAGTTTTTTCCTTTTGACTGCGATTGTTAAATTGGATTTACTCGGGGGGTGTGCCAAGGAATTTGGAAGCGAAACTTTGTAAATATTTTGGTCGACCATTTACGTAGAGAGTACTTTCGAAATTAGCTCAGATCTTTAATTAAATTTAATCATCAAAATAATTTCAAGTTTATTTCTACGGTGCGAATATATAATATTCTTGAAGTCGGAGCTCGCGCAGCTCAATATAAGGTCAAGAAGGGACGAGGAAGGGACGTGCGCGGAGGGTTTACGTGTCGGCGCCTCTCTTCGCACGGAGAAAACGGAGACGGCTGTCCGAGCTTGACTAATTGCCTGGCCTTGTTGGGCTAATTTATATACTGTTTGGTCACGAGTAGATTATAATTGCGGGCTAGAAGAGACCGGGTCGAGCTGTGCACAGCTCGGATGTCTCTGATATATCCCGGGGATTTCTCGGTAAAACGTTGAAAAATTTATTTTTAAAATTGTTCACTTCAATTATAACGTTATACATTATCCAAAATTAAGCTGAGCCATCTCGAAACAACAATATGGATCGTGGAAACGCTCGTTGCAAGAAGAAGCTATAACGTATTATCAGCGCGCTACTCTTTTCTCGCGTAAGAGAACAAATAAAAGCGAATTTTTCTCCCTCTCGGTAAAAGGGTATAGAGAAAGCGACGTGAAAAAAAAAGCGAAGAAGAAGCTAAAGGAATAAGATAGCTTATATGAAGGCCTTGTCAGTGGTCAAAGCAAGAAGGGTTGAAATATCTATACAAACGCGCGCGAGTGGCTATAGTACGAGCTTGCAACATGCCGTCGAAAGTAGCAGTTTAGCTCTCTCTCTCGTCTGATAACACTTGGCCAAGACTTTTATCGATCGTGTCGCGCGCGCACTGGCAACAGATGGCTCACCCAATTTTCGCCCTTGCGCTGCTGCTGCTGCTGCTGTACCTAAACTCTCCTACGGCTGCTCGTTTGCTCGCAGCAACACACATACAGCAGCTACATAACTATAACACGCGCGCTGCGGTGGATATATACGCGGCGGCCCTTATATATCTATAGTGAAGTAGTAGCTGATAAACGATAACTAATACGCGCGCCGCAGAGAGCCAAGATATTGTTTTAGCGACTTTGGGGAGGGTTGGCTTGGCTGGCTGGCTGCTTCCTCTTTGCAGTTTTGCCGCAGCATACTCGCACACAGACGCGCGGACAACGGTAGCAGCAGCAGCACTTCTTGCCGTCTTCTTTCTTCCCTCGTAGCAGTGCAGCAGCAGCGATCGTGCATGAGCGGTTTATCATACCAAACACTCGACGCGCGCGCGCGCGGGGATAGGTATAGGAGGATGAGAGGAAAAGGCTTGGGTGGTTTTCCTTATACTTTTTCCCCCCTTGCGCTCTTATACTCGGCGTGTGCACTTGACGCTCGCGCGTTAGCTGCTTCTTCTTCTTCTTCCTCGCCGCACTATGCGCGCCGATAACTTTGTTCTCGAGCTTCTTACCCTCTTCCTCGTTTTTTTTTTTTTGTATCTTCGCTTATACTCTCGATCCTCTTTTTCTCTTACCTTCTTCTTCTTTTTTTTCGTTGTTGGTACGCGCGCGGTATTGTATACACTCTCTCTCGGGCGCAGTATGCGTGTGTATCGGTCTTTTGCTACCGCCGCCCTCTTCGCGATCTCTCTCTCTGCCTCCGGTAATTCGAACCCTGTGTACATATAGCTGCGGCAAATCACCGCGCGCTTCAGCTACAGCCACTCGAGCGGCACGAGCTGGGAGAGGAAAGAATTCAGCCTAACGGAAAGAATAGATAACCGGCGCACGAAATAATAACTGTGTCAATTTCTCGCTTCGATTACGACCGCGATAATTTCTGCTCCGACGATGTCTAAAGCTGCGCTCACCTTTTTTTTTGTTTCTCCCTTTTCGCAGAGATAGCGCTGCAGGAGCACAAAAAGGAGTACGACAACGGCGGCGGCGACAACGAGTACGGCGGCAACAACGAGGACGAGCGAGAACTCGGCAATCGTCTCAATCACGTGTATCAGGGTCTGCGCGAGGGCGGCGGTGCCACGGCCCAGCCCAAGGCCAATGGAGCCGATGCCGCCGTTGCTACTGCCCGGACGTCGCTGCTGATGACGACGCTGCTGCTGGTATTCTTCTTGGCGACGACGAGAATCGACTGCAGTGCGTAGAAAAAGACGAACGCAGACGACGTCAGAGGTGGGAGACACATAAAACTGTACAGAACAATTTTTTAATCGTAAGAAAAAAAGAATCGTGTACTTATAAGGGGCGGGCTTTTGATTTCGAACTTTGTGTCGTTACATGAATATACTATTATGGTGCAGCGTTGATCGAGGACGAATTTAGGACGATATAACGATATCGGCAGCTGTTTGGCTGCGCCGAGCGCGTATAATTTCGATAAATGCTTTGAGTGACATTACCGCACACATATCAAAGTCTTTCCGTAGTGTGTAATTATCTTCTTTTTTTCGGCGCAGCCACTCGCATATTTATATAAATATTATATATAATACAATGGTTAATCGAAAGTGTGCGTTGAAAGTATATTTTATAAATGTGAATTATATAAGATACGATTGGCACGAGACGAAAAAAGTTTTTCTTTATCGAAAATGAGAAAATCGTTGAAATGTTATGAATGTTCTGTTATTGAGTTGAGCACAAATTTTGTACACTACAATGAGATCATATATATATAGAATATATTGTATTATGATGCCTAAGTCTGTGCGTACAAGTATATAATACCTAATGTACATATTTACACTTTTTCAAGCTCAAGCCAAATGAAAAATCGAACGCGTCTACAAAACAAAAATTATTTATTATGGGCTTATAGCTTAAACTTGGCTTTTTAATTTTTTTATGGGATTTTTCTTCCCTGTTTCATTGCATTTTTTAAAATTTCAAAATTTGTAATTTCTCCCCCAGATAAGCTGTTTCTATTTTTCGTAAACTTTAAGCGTAAAACTTTTTTTCGTTGCATTCTTTGGTCGCATTAGGATGGCAATAACAACAAAAAATGTAAAAGAAATTATGCTCGAGTGTTCGTAAAGAGCAACCTATGCGCGTTCGATCACCTCGCCCCGAGTTGCGGCCGTAACCATTTCATATTCCGATGAAGTGTGCACCACCTGGGCACTGTAGCTCAAATGGTTTCCACTGAATGTTACGACTGGTAAGAGGCATTTTTAAAAAACATGAAATGCCGGTAAGGGCAAAAGAAATAAAAAAAAATTCAAAAGTAAATAAAGGAACTGCTGTAACTCAATGAGAGATAAAAATGTTGGAATTTTGAATAATTCAATAAAAAGGGTAGGAAATATCCCATTAAACAATGAAATAAAAAAAAAAACAAGATTCCTAGGTATACGTAAGCCCTCAGCGACTAATTCGGAGATTTCATTGTAAAAGTTTTATAAATTATCACTTCCGAAGCTTACGTTTGCGGCTCAAATTCCAGATCTCATGAACTATCCTGTAATTAAACCGTGCCAAAAATTATTTTTATTCTAAAGAAAAAGAGTCAACAGTTTTCTCAATAAAGTTGAGGAGAATTTAGAAGTACGAAAACTTTTTTTCCGTTGATCTACATACATTTCCAGTAAATCATGCTGAAACAAAGTAAACTTACTAAATTCACTCATTAGTATTCAAATTTTCTTCAATTATTTTATTTCGACCATTAATATCACTACATAGAAGTTATTTTCCACGCGAATCGCGATCAATGTAGTGCATTTAGGAAACGCCGCGGCAATAACTTTGATGCACGTTTTTTTACTCCATAAGCTTTTACCTTCAAAGTACACGCCGTCTCGTCTTACTCTATACGTCGCACTGTCATAATGTTCACGAGATTTTACAAGCATTCGAGGCATTCTCATTTCGCGTTGTAATCTCTCTCTCTCCCCCGGGGAAGGGAGCGCAATTAATATCAATCGTCGGAAGCTGCTCATTGCATACAAGCAACATGACGACGCGTTTCAGCTCATTATGCTCGTCGTGAATATAAAGACAGAGGCAGAAGAGAGAGAGGCGGAGACACAGAAGCCAGAGGCAGAGAGAAAAGAGCGATTTTCTCTCCGGCGTGTGCAGTGCTGCTGCTGATGTCGAGGCCTCTCAGGGGTGAAACTTTCTATCTACCTCTCTTTTTCACTTTTCTCTATTTCTCTCCGGGCTTATGTGTGTGCGCGCGCGGGAGCTGTGCCTTTCTTCTTCTGCAGGCTGTGAACACAGCGCTCCGCATTGCCACAGTGCAGCAGCGGCAGTAGCAGAGGTATACACTGCTGCGCTCGGTTTCTCTCCCTCGCACTTCATATCGCGGATTAGCGAGCACCTGTTGCTGCTGCTGCTACTGCTGCCACGGCTATACACCGACGAGCCATGGAGCTTTCCTGGAAATCTAATTGCTTCCTCGGCACGCGAACATCCCAAGCAAGTCTCCCACTCTATCTTTCTCTCTCTCTCGTTCTCTCTTCCTTTCTCGTCGTCTTTCTTTCTTCGAGTTATTATATTGGCAGGTAAGCGTAAAATAAAAAGACGAAGAGGGAAGAAGAAGGAAGGAAAATTTCACCCAACGGGTACACTTCAGCGGAGCTAAGTGCATTGCATTAAATGGCTCGAGATTTCTTAAAAGATTGTTTCAACGTAAGCTTACTTGTTTTTACTTTTTTTTTCGCCGCGCCGGCACCCCCGTGCTTTTTCCCTTCCTCCTCCAAGCTCTCTCTCTCTCTCTCTCTAACTCGCCAACTGCACAAGCCAACCAGAAACAACGCAAATCTTCTCTCTCTCGTTTTCATTTCGTTTCGTGTAAAACTCATTTTAAGTAAAAGCAGTAAAATGCGGAAATTACTCTCAGAGGTAATTTTTTTTCCTCTGTCCCAACACCGTTTACATTACGATTTTAAAGTATAATGGCAAAACAATTTTTGTTTCGCTCGCACAACTCGTAAATAAATTTAAAACTATTGTATTATTATATCCTTCGAATGAAAAAAATGGTAACGATCGTTGATTTTTCGCAACTTCGGGAGTCGATAAAATTTATAAGAAAAATTTAAGAAAAAAGATTTAAAAATATCACTCAGCAGTGCGTCGTAACATAATTATATTTTTCAAGTACATTATAGGAACGAAGTTGCGACGAATCGACGCGTTGAATGAAAATCTCTGTAAAGACGCTGTAAAATAATGTGTTATAATATACTGATGATAGTTATAAAAATGTAACTCCATTACATATAAATATGTTATACACAGATAGCCGCATCAAAAAGTTGATAAGGTTGACGTAATACGTACGAGTGTTATTATTAAATGTCGTTCGCAAAAATTTATTTAATGAACTTGAACAAAGCATAATAAGCTAATTAATTATATCTAAGTATAAATGGTGTATATTATCAATAGATGAATGACTAGATGAATTTCATTGTATGAGTTGTCGATCGCTGAAGACCATTTTTTGCTCTGAAATGAAAAAAATAATAATAATAATCGAGAACAACTTTTTTCGAAGCGTAACTCATCGCGAATGGAATGCTTGAAAAATTAATTGTACTTGTGAATAAAAAAATTATAGTTAGTTTATGAAAAATCGTTGGCGACTGATGAGTGTTGAATATAAATGCAAAATAAAAAAAGAAGTATATATAATTAATAAGGTGTTTACAGAGAAATCTTAATGTACATAAAACAAGAATGTGAATATATATGAGCATTGTACCAAAAAAAAAAAAGAAAGGCAACAATAATTAATTCTTTTACTGTTGAATATATGTAAGGGTTTTGGCAAGAGAGAGTAAACGCGGCCACGAGATCGTAACAATAGTACCACGATAATATATAAATAAATTATTATTATTATATAAACCGAGTAGTCTTGAGAATTGGCGCCTCGCACATTGTACAATAAAGCGCTTCACGCATTTAAACGACGTAAGTTATAAATACGACGACGATCATGGACGTTTGGTTTTATTTTGAATTAAAAAAAAAATATTACATGCATATTATATTGATTTTTACGTAGGTTATCTTCGAACTGTCATGCGCCGATCGAAATGATATAGCGTCGCATCGCATGTAAAATAAATCCCCGAAAAGTTGTAAACCCTATACAACGTGCTGCATACACAGGACAACAAGAAAAAAAATATCATGTATACCGTAATCTTGATTAATTCGTAATTATAAATAGCGCAAACAAAAATTGTAAACTATACCGTATAATACAGAGGCGTAACGATATGCAACAAAAACAAAACAGAAAGGATTTGTGAAAAAATTTTGATTTGAATAAAAAACGCACATCGCGATCGAAGCATAAAATGTATTTCCAAAATTGAGACGCACACGAGGATGTATTGTATGCTGCGCATACAATTGGATTGGTCAGTGCATTAAGTATAGAATTGCCTATATACATTCCACTGTATACGCGCTGTAAGGGGAGGGTCGAAACGAGAAAGAGTTAATCGAACTGATTCAATTGAAAACAACGACCGATCGACGAAATTCCTTTTTTAGCCCAATTACTATTACTACTATATAATACACAATTGCGCCGCCGCCGCCGACACCGCCGCCGAAAGAGATAACCTGCTATATTGTTTGGACGAAAATATAACAATAAACATGAATAAAATATCATTAATGTAAAATGTTCTTTGCGTCTCGTTTTTATTTCTCCCCTTTCTCGTCCCCGCTCAAACATATGCGTACCCATGTACAGACCAGTGCAATTAAGTAATCGTATCGCGTCTGTGCGTGCGTGCCACGAGCGCAATAATATTATACAACATTGGCTGAATAATTGAAGGTAATGGACAAAAACTTGAAAGCTCCCTTCGGTCGATGCTGCACGATGAATCTGAACTCCTCTGCACGCGTGAATCGTACGTACGGGTGTGAACATAGAGAAGTACTCGACGCGCGACCCGAGCGATTTGTCGGAAAATCCAACGCATTAACGCGTAACGATTGCGTGGGGGCATCGAATATATAATATAATAATAATATAAGCCCTCTTTCGATGACCATTGAAATTAATGAGCTGTCGGCGCCGAACGTATCTACATAGGTCTCATCGTCGTATATAGATATATAACAGTCGAGCTGACTGCGATGCTCATGTTGACGCCGCGTCTATGGCAGCGACTGTGCAACGTCGCGCGGCGACGACGACGAGCTCGAAACGTGACGTTTGCACCGCAAACAACGATTCTCTCGGTGTGTATATATGTACGTAGCTCCGCGTGCAGCAAAGCTCAAATACGTATACATATTTATATATACGTATAGATATTGCCAGAGAGAGAGAGAGGGAGCGAGAGAGGTGACACTGCACCTCTGGCTGAAGCGAGCACGTCGGTATCTTGGCATGCTTATATCGACTCTGTACGCTCTCTCTCTTCCCCTCGTTTCCCAATATCTCAAGTAGTTCCTGTTGATATTGCGATTATTACGACCTTCTCTCCCTCTCTCTCTGGGTATACGCGTGTGCCGAGTAAACTCGAGTGCGCATCCACTTTGATTATGAGGATCGCGCAAATGTAAATTGCTCGTATCGAATGGGAATATAAATATTTCCGTAAACAATAATTGATTTAGATCTAGCAAGAGAATGAGAGCAATATTTGCAATTTTCGACATTGGATTTCTTCATTTTTGTTCATTTCTTATGATTCGATACATTAATTTATTGTACTTGAATGAACTTTCAAAGAGCAAATTTTTGCACGAGAACGACATTTTGTTTTTAAAGTAGAAATCGTGTAGAGAAGAACAAAAAGTGATTACCAAATTACATAATTCACTCCTATATGTTCCAAGCACTTTACTTTTTCATTTTCGATTTCTGATAATTCAGCCCTGCGACATCTAGCAGTAATTTATGCACTAATTAGTGTTTATGTCGGCAATGACAAGGTCGACCATCGTCTCATTGGAAGCTGGTAACACCAAGTCAATTAAAAAATGGCAAATAATTTGGGATAATGTATAGGTCGTTGAGTGAATGAAGAAGAGAATACAGACGCAGGCGGAAAAAAATTGAACCGAAGAAAAAAAATTTACTCATACTCTTTCTTAGCGCAAATTATATTGTCGAGTGAGTACGTAAATCTTCATATACATCGTTACAAACGTGCGCACTCGATGAAACATCGAGCTTTTTTCCGTATGCATCGAGCAAAGCAAGCGATACCAAATATATTACATCTGCATACCAACTTTTCGGGGCAGATACGTATATTTTATATAAAATTTTCATTAACAGCCGCTTGTCGCGCGATCGCTAGCACGAATACGCCAATCACACACATTTCTTGCATAAGTATAGTTAGCCGAACGATGCTCTCGTATCGCATGCAGAGCTTCGTTTCACAATATATAACTGCGTACAATATAATGTAATATATTACATATTGGGAGCATCGGTACAGAAACTAAAAATGAAAAATAGCTGGCGCGAAAAACAAAGAGGAGCTCCAAAATATTACTAACGCGAGATCGTCCGAAGTACTCCAGCATATGTGTAATACACATTGTGTATGCGTGTGTTATATAAAAAAAAGGTACATACACGTATGTAATACGGCTCGACGAATACCTTGTTATGACAAGCTTGAAATTTTTGATGCAGTACACACAGTAAAAGAAATGTATAAAGCCAGGGAGGGAGAGAGGATGAGAAAGAGCGAGAAAGAGAACGAGTGAACGAGCAAACAAGCAACGCGATATGAATATCGGAAAGTTCGTCCCAAAGGAATTCCACAGGTTCGAGCGAGTAGAAGCAAACGTTTCCCTCTACCCTATAGCAGCGCGCGAATCTCCATACAATATCTATATCTATATTGTGCTATATGTATATCAGCCCACGCGCACTGCAGATACACCATTGCACTGGTACAGAACCTAAAGAAAAAAAAAAGAAAGAAAGATACAGAAACGAGAGCTTCTTTCTTCAACTTCTTCTTCGTACTTGTTCTTATATTCTAGCTGCAGTGCCTAAAGTTCTGCACAGCTCACGAGCGTTTCCTTATATCAGCAGCAGTAGCGGCAGCCCGCGCGTTTATCCCCGAGAAACAAAATCGCTGAACGAGGCGAAGATATATAAACTTGTTACGTCGCGAACAAACACCGAAATCGTGTCTGGCAGGTATAGGGTAAGTAACAGCCGCAACGGCAGCAGCATCTGCCGACGACTCCATGCCATCGCCAACGCCGCAGCAGCAGCAGCTGATCCGATAGTCGATAGCACTGCATATATATCGAAGGATTCGTAGAGCGGATAAACTTCAACCTTAGCTCGGATACGTATACGAGGGCACGAATTGCGACTTATACGAGGTATAAATGTGTTTAAGCATCGTGTGTAGGAGCAACTGCAGTCAAAATATTATGTAATTTTACTGACGCACTGCTGTGAAAACGAGAAAGAGAGAGAGAGGGATGCATTTTGCGCATCAGGTGTAAATCCGTAACTCGTCTGCTTTCTCTCTCTCACCTTATACTCTCGCATATTAGTATAGCGTGTAATTAAAAGATCTTTTTCATCAGAAGACTACTTTTCAGCTTGCACAGAGTGAGTTTTTTTTCTCTCTCTCCTTTCTCTCGTTCATTTTTCTTCTTTATTTATTTTATTTTATTTTTTGCAAGAGAAAACCTCGTTTCTCCGTGCTCGCATGCAGATACACTGATTTTCTCTCTCTCTCTCTCTTCCCGCATTTTTTGATACGTTTTCTCCCCCTTTTTTTTCTCTCTCCTCCTTTCTCTTTTTTTGCCCTTGTTTAGAAACGAGCTTGTGTGCAGCTGTGCCGCGCGCGAGTTCTTTTCATAAGGCAAACTATTTTCGAGGTTTTCCCTTTGACGAGATAGCTCCGGCTCGGCCCAGTAGTAGTGGTAGTGGTAGTAGTAGTGCAGTTACACAGCGGGGGTATAACGCGGCGCGGCCAACCAGATGCGCGCCGCGCACCGCGCGTACGTATACCGATGCCACAGAAAGTTATATTAATCTAAGTTCAGCCAGATCGTATCGCGCGCGCACACACGTAGTAGGGTGCATGCGCGCCTATACACGCGTAACGGATATATAAAATACCGTCGCATGAACTATTTTCACTTTTCAATGGCGCGCGGCGCGTATCGTACACACATACACACACACGAAAAAAATGTATGTACATCGTGCTTCCGATTGATAAATATTTTAATTAAAAATTTATCCGTTTTTATCTGTGGATCTCGGCCGCGTGGAGGGATGATGATGGGAAATAATACGAACGAGTATATGGATCTCGCGAAGCATCGGTCAAAAGACACGGTCAATTATAAAAAAGACTTTGATGGGATATGGAGAAAATTTGATTGAAAAAGAAGAAAGACGACCGGATGAAATAGACTGCTTAAAGTATGCCAATCATCTTATCGTATGATATTTTTTCGCTGCAGCGTGCAAGTCCATAAAGGATTCGTGTCGAGCTACACGACCCACAGCCAACGTTGTAATTACTAAATTTACAAGCTTGATTTTATTCAAAGGAAAAATACTTTTCAAAAACGGCAAGAAAAAAATAGCGAATATTACGTTACCGGTTTCTGAAAAAAGTCACGATCAAAGTCCTCCGCCCGAAAGAATACAAAATTCCGATAGTCCGTGATAAAAATAGGCGAAAATAGCAGTATCCACGTATGTATACCGGAGGATCGTTCACGAGGTTTCGAGCGCGCGAGAAAATGAAAT